CCGTTCTGTTTCAGTGGTAAAGACTGGCCTGAAGCCTCAACCACCAGATCAACTGGAACCTAAGGGAGAATGACGCCGACCTAGAATTTCTGACTTCAATCAACTAACTAAAGCTTGGACCCTGTCGACCGCCCAAGCCCCTTCATGAATATGCACATGCCCTTAGCTTAAAATTTCCCTACTTTTGTTGTTCAGGAGATCTCTGGCCAAGATCCCCAGTGTTCTCCATACTTGCTGCCAGTAATAAATCCTGCGTTCTCCACTCTCTGGCTTGGCTGTGTCTTTTGGCTCGACGCCCACCCAGAGGCGAGCCCAGTTTTCGGGTAACAATTTCTTAAATTCATCAAGCATTTTCATATGTCTTGGCTGAATGCCATTGGTCTCCAAGGACGCACTACCACAACGGCTCTGGGCAACAGTTCCATTATCTGGATATCCACGCTGTCTACGGGGAATTACGCATTTACACAGAAGTTTATGAGGACTTGAGAATCCAGAGTAATCATTTCCATTATGTGAAAGGTATGTGATCTGTACTAGCTACCCTTTTGAGCCTCGGTTTAACAATTTAACAATTTGACAACTTAATAAATTGATAAAATGGAAACAGAGCCATCTATTTTGCAGGACTGTGATATTTAAAAAAAAACAAAAACTGACGCATGGTCAACATCCTGCAACTATTTCTTGGGCACCTGCTACGTGATGGTTTCTTTTTACCTGCACGGAACATTTTTATTGCATAACATCTACAAATTAGTCTCATTATGTAAAATTCTCTTCGTTTTCATTTCCCATGATAGTTCTTTCAAGAAACAGAATTTTAGAAAATTAAGTTTCTGTGGAACTTTTAGAACAACTGCATTGTTAGTAAAGGGCTGCTCACTGGGGTTAGCAAACACTGGCTCTGATTCCAAAAGTCGTATCTGTGTGGGACACTAATAGAAATAGGCTAGACAGTCCGAATTAATGTGCTTGACCAACAGCTTTTGACAGCATTTACATTAACATGGAATCCAAAGGATGTTAGTGTTCTGCCCATTTCAGGCCAATATTTCTAAATCTTTGGATAACATCATGTACATTACGTACAGACATTATCATGCACCTCTGTATCTGTGGTTTCTGCATCCTCGGATTCAACGAACGATGGATCAGAAATATTTGAAAAAATTCCAGAAAGTTCCAAAAAGCAAGACTAGAACTTGCTGTGTGCTGGCAGCTATTTACACAGCGTTTACATTGCATTAGTTGTCAAAAGTAACCTAGAGATGACTTAAAGTACGCAGAGGATGCGTATTGGTTACATGTGGACACTGCGCCATTTCACATAGGGGACTGGAGCATCCTGGCACCTTGTTACCTGCAGGGGTCCAAGGACCAAACCCCATGGATACCAAGGGACAACTACACACAAAAATCTTACTAAATCACTTATCACAAATTATACTGGCTTATTCTTAAATGACAAATACTATTTTCCTTCTCATCTCCAGAGAAATCTCCCACATTCTATCCAGGGCAGATGAACTGGCCAGACAGAGGCACCACACCCCTCTTTCCATCCACTGCCCCGATCATGAGGTTATTTCTTACGAAGCCCTCATTCCTTAGCATCCTTCTCAAAAAAGTCTCCCATCTGCTCAGACTTGGCGTTTGAGTAGAAACCAACCCCGTGTACCACCTCAGATAATTTTTTAATTTTAATTTCAGAGGTCAAATAAAATTCATACAACTAATAAAACTTTTTATCTAAAAAAAAATACCCCCAAAGCCTAGTTAAGTGGGTATCTTTCCCCAGCAAATCCAAAGACATCGCAAAATTTACGAGAGTCATTATCAAGTAAAAACAACTGTTCAATGAAACACTGCTCTCTAACATGTGACTATTGCTGTCCAATGGCCAGAAATCTGCTTACAAGGATTTCTCAGTCGTTCACAACTTTGCCTCTTTCGTCTTTCGAGTAAACCAAGGCATTCAACCACGAAAACTATGCGGAGTTGAGTGCCATCTGTTTAATTATTGCACACACTAGGAAAAAAGTAGTCAATTGTTTTTTTAAGTAAAAAGGAAGGTCCAAGGACTTTAAAAGAAAACAAAATACAGTTCTACAGATGAAAGGTTTCTTCTAATAAAAGAAACCATAGTAAAAGAAAGAAAGAAAGCAAGAAAAGAAACCACAGTAATATTTTAGGCACAAGACAATTTTACAAAACTTCAGCAAGGAAAAAATCTTTTAAGTATTTAAACCTGCTATTCAGTGTTTTTACACGAATTCTAACAGAGGAAAAGCAAATCACTAGGAAATCAAAGTTCCAAGTTAACGCTAACAACTTCCTAAAATGATTTCTGCCCAAAGAAAAGTTCAAGACAAATAACATTCGCAAGATCCAAATCCTCCCCTAAAGTGACGTGAGCTCTGTGACTAAATTAAACAGGAAATTTTAGGATCTTTGACACAGCAGTGACCCATTTAAGTACTTCGGGGAAAACACACAGCAGGAATATACCAATTTGTACTCTTAATCCTTCCTGAGTATTGAAGAGACAATGCCTAGAGAGCATGGTTTTTAAGAGACAGTGATTTTAGAAGGACAGCCGGCTTCTAAATGTTTTGCTTCTACCTAGAAAACTTCAAAAGGAGAGACAAGGGAACACCTTCAAAATGCATCACGGCACCAGCCCTTCGGTTTAACCATCCAAACACTGTCATTCAAAGGCTAAGAAGGTTTCATCATTCTGGGTATCAAATGTGTCCAGCCTTCCAAGGGCTTGGGTTTTAAAAAGTCACGTGGGGAGAGCAGTGTGACCATCACGATGTCTGTACCAGGAAACCCTCCCAGCAGTGAGTCACTCAAGGGGAGCTGGCACCTTATTCTGGACAAGTGGAGGCGAGTCGGTCCTGGTTTTCCTAATTTTTGTCTTTTTTTTTTTTTGGAAGTATAATCAGTTACAATGTGTCAGTTTCTGGTGTACAGCAGCATGTCCCAGTCATGCATGTACATACATGTATTCATTTTCATATTCTTTTTCATTGAAGGTTATTACAGGATATTGAATATAGTTCCCTGTGTCCTGATTTTTCTTTTTAACTCAGCAGCCTACACCTACTTCTACGGAATGCTGTTCTGTAAAGGAGGCAGATTATTACAGTGTTTACAGGGGGCACGGGTGTGGACACATGGGAGACTCATTATAGGTTTATAGGTGTCAAAGTCTCCAAAATAAAAAAAGAGGGAGAGAAGGGGAGGAGGCAGGGGAGAGAAACAAAAGGAAGAAAGGGAGAGAATAGGGGAGACGGGGTTTCCAGGCAAACAGACTGAATGAGACCTTAGCTCTGCACCTTGGCAAACTTGAGGTTCCCCACTTGCAAAGTGGGTAACAGCAGCTCCTGCTCTAAGGGTCTCTGGGAGACGTGAAGGAGGTAACGCAACAGAAAGCCCTTAACAGAATGCCTCAAATGCAGAAAGTTGTCAAAATATTAACTATTCCAGTTACTATCATTTTTATCATAATCGAATACGTCTCTCGGTACGAGGCCTCTATTTAGGAAGAGATCCAGTTCTTCAACAACATGATACAATTTTTGCAAAACTAAAATAAATCACTGAGATCAAGAAATACATTGTTTCAGCCACTATATATAAAAATAGATTAAAAAACACAAATTTCTTCTGTATAGCATAGAGAACTATATTCAGTATTTTGTAATAACCTTTAATGAAAAGGAATATGAAAACAAATACGTGCATGCATATGCATGACTGGGATACTGTGCTGTACACCAGAAAACTGACACATTGTAACTGACTTACTTCAATGAAAAAAATTTTTTTAAAAAGAAATACATTGTTTCCAGTCAAGGTTTTCTGAGGATTTAGCTTCCTCTAAGGCAACAGGAGCGTGTATTCAGCACCAAGTGCTGGGGTTTGAATCCCAAGTCTGCCACTTGCTGGCTGGGTGACTTTAAGCAAGTGTTTACTCTGGTTTCACTTCTGTCTGTAACCAGCCGAGGACAAGATTCCCTTATGGATGCTGTGAGGGTTAAATGAATTAATACATGTAAACTGCTTAGGACAGTAAGTGCTGTGTGAGTGTTAACTGGAGAGCTCATGGTTATCAGTTCTTACTGGGAAACTGTTTGCCACCCCAAACTTGGCCACTGCTAAACCCAGCTACTCACTAGAGTAACTAGGCGAGGGGGCTATGATTTGGAAGCTTGTGAGCTCTGAGTCTGAACTAAATCCTGACCTCACTAACCATCAAAGCTCCCTAGATATAATCTTGGTCCCCTCCTGGTAGAGTATATATGAGTTTACTGTCGGCAAAATCCAAAGACGTACCATAGCTCTGTGTGTCTGATTTTCTAAAACATTTTTGTTTGTTTTGTTTTGGGGGGGGCGTGTAATTATGTTTATTTATTTATTTTAATGGAGGGACTGGGGATTGAACCCAGGACCTCATGCACGCTACACACACACTCTATCACCGACCTATACTCTCCCCTTGCAGTGATTTTTTT